GGTGGAAACAATGGCAAGGGAGACCCCACAGGGATCGGAAGAGCACACGTCTGAACTCCAGTCACCTACCAGGATCTCCTATGCCGTCTTCTAAAAAAAAAAAAAAAAAAATGCAGTGAGTTCCCGGTAACAGCCCAATTAAATGTTATCTGTCAAAATACTGAAGGCTGTAGTTGATGTATACTACTTAATTTTAAAAATTATCTACCATCTCACTGTTTTTTGGTTTTTGTTTTTTGAGACAGGATCTCACTATATAGTTCACGCTGGCCTTGAACTCACTATGTAGCCTAGGCTGGCCTCAAACTGCCCCAGCCTACCAAGTGCACCACACCCAGCCCCATCTCACATCTTGATCCCCAGAGGGCCCTACATATTGCCTGAACTATAAAGGGAACTAGGAATTTCATAAAGAGAGTACCCACCACCTGTTGCTCCACATCTGAACAAACCACACTCCTGCCTCCAACCTGTACTTCAATGGGTTTACTCAGTATTCTGCGTGCCAAGGCCTCCATAGCTCTAGGGAAAGTAGCTGAAAACATAACTGTCTGTCGGTCAGGACGGACATTATCCACAATGCGCATGACCTGAGTAAATAATACAAGCAAATATGATGAGTATTCTTCAAAACTTACACAATGTCAAAATCAAGTAGAAGGAACTTCTGAGAATGACTATTTCAACTTGTTACCTTTAAACTTGTTATCCTACAATATCACAACTCATTTTATACTCTAATTTGTTCTCAGTTTTCATATCGGAAAAAATGGCACCTCCGTGACGTAGGTCAAAAAAGTAGATGTCATATTGGACTAATCTCTGTCACTCAACTCACAACAATCCATTAACAAATTCAGTTATCTCTATCTTTAAACTGTACCTAGAATATAACCAATATATACTACTATGTTTTCATTTATTCAATTCATTTTTATTAAGCATTTATTATATGACAGGCACTGCCAAATACTAGAAATATAAAATAAAAACAAGAAATGAATGATTCTGGGAAGATGACAGGATGGGAAGAAATGAAAATCTGCCTTTCCACTTAGACTACTTGCATTGGCAGAATATGATATAATTATTTTGGAACTCTGGAGTCTAGTGAAGGTTTACAACTTCCAAGGGAAGAGTTGGAAGGTAAACTGTGGTTAGTATCTGCCCATTTCAGCTCTTCTCACAGTAGCAGCTACCCATCTGGTGCCTCCTCCTCACAGGAAAGTGTGCACATGGCACCAGAGCAGACTGCACACAGCTTGAAAGAGGCACGATGGGCAAAAAAAAAAAAAAAAAATCAAACAAAAAAACCCCTATCCCCCAAATGATGAGAATCTGTAATCTGACTACTTCTCATCACTAAGGTGTACAAATACTCTTGTGATACCACTTATTAAAGGTAATCAGTTGTCAAAATGATGGAGACAAAGTACAGTGGTGGCTGCCATGAGCTGGGACGTGACAGGAGGGAGAAGAGGGAAGTACCATGTAAGGATACTGCTGCAGTTTTGCAAGATAAATTGTACCCTTTAAAATAATGAAAAAACATTTTTTAATAAAAAAAAACGGTGATGATAAATTTTGTTATGTGTATCTAACACAACAAGAAAAAACTGAAGCCAAGGATGGTAGCACATGCCTATAATCCTAGCATTCTGGGGGGCTGAGGCAGGAAAACTCCAAGTTCAAACCCAGCTGGGCATAGTGGCACATGCCTGTAATCTCACTTGGGAGGCTGAAGCATGAGGATCACTGCTATTTCAAGGCCAGTGTAGGCCACGTAATGGAGTTCAAGGACAGCCTGAACTATATAATAGCAAGACTATGTCCAAAAAAAAAGTTGGAGCCCAGCCTGAACAACTTGGTGAGGACCCTGTGTGAAAATCAAATGAATGAATGAATGGCTAGGGATGTAGCTCAGTATGAAAACGCTGGGTTCAATCCCCAGTGCCCAAACAATTTTTTAAAAGTCTTCATGTTGCTTACATTGTAATGGGGGTGGACAAATACATTAAGTGTCAATATACTGTATGGAAGATCCATACATTAAATGGTGATAAGAGCTTCAGAAAGAAATAAAACAATAGAAAGGTAAACAAAGTATCTTTAGGAGCTGGGATAGGTGCACCAATCACATTAGTGCGCATTAGAGCCCCGAAGGAATCAAGAAGTCTGCAGATTCTTGTAGCGGCAGCCATAAACAGGAAAAAAGACATGATCAAGAACGCCGATACTGGTTTAAAGGTGGACAATGACTAATGGTTGGAAACTGGGAAGGATGAAGGTCTTGCCAGGAATATGCAGGATCCTCAGACCACATTTTAGCTATCAAAAATGACACGAAGGGGGCCAGGGATTTAGCTCAGTGGTTCCACCGCCTGCCTGGAAAGCACAAGGTCCCGAGTTCAATCCCGGTACCAAAAAAATAATAACATGAAGGGGCTGGGGATGTAGATCAGTGATGCTGTGGCTGCCTGACAAGCGAAAGGTCCTGAGTTTGATCCCTGGTACCAGAAAAAAAAAAAAGATACAAAGGCTGGGAAAGGAGCAATTCAATTCATGGGACTTGGAACTCCAAGGTTCAAGCCTCTACCACCTCTCGTAGGATTATCTCGACAGTCTTCTAATACCATATCCAGTTTCAAAACTATACTCAACGGGCAAAATGATGGTTTTAAAACAGATGGCAGAGCTGGTGGCGTAGCTCAGGGCAGAGCTCATCCTCAGCAGGTACCAGGTCCTGGGTTCAATCTCCAGCACCAAAATATCAAAAACAAAAGCCAGATGTCACCACTTCCAAGTAAAGATTACCAAGTGACTTAATACATTTTCCTTCTCTTCCCTTGAAAATTCCCTAGAAAAAGTAACAATACAGGAATCTTTTTCAAAAAGCACAAACCAACAAAAAAAAGGAAAATAAATTAGGGAATGGTAGTACCAACATTTGGAGTAGTTAGTACATGACTAAGACACAACTAAAACTAAATCCTAAATTAATAGGGCTGGGGATTTAGCTCAGTGGTGCCATGCCTATCTCACAAGCACAAGGTCCTGAGTTTGATCCCCAGTACCAAAAAAAAAAAACAGAATGCCCTAGATTTTCCAGTAAGTGGCTTCCCTAAGATCTATTCTATCACTTCTTTGGGATTTCGGGGGGCGGGGGGGGGGGGGGGGGGGAACCTTAAAGCCAAAAGGAAAATCCGTTCCCCAGGATTATACGGCTAAACAACAAATAAATGAGAGTACAACAGATTCTGTATATGCAAAAACTCTAAAAGTACTTCCAGATTCTTTTTACAGAAAAGGTAGCCTCCAAACCAAAGGAATATACAGACTGAGCACTCTTAATCCAAAAACAGGAAATCCAAAACATTTATCCACTGTAGAAAATCACATACAAAGCAGAAACATAAAAAAGCAGTAATATAACCAGAAGAAATGGAGGTAAACACCAAGCTACAGTATGAAAGTGGGGAAGGCACTACTAACCCTAATGCCCCCAAGTTACAGATTCAACTAAAAAGGAAAAGAAGTCAGGCCAGGAATTCCCTTGCTCAAAATCCCCCAAGGCTAGCTAATCATATTCAGGATAAAATCCAAATTCCTGGCCAGACGTCCAAGGCTTTATATATACCCTCACTATACAGCCAGCACAATACCCATATACACCTCTTTCTATCCTCCTCCCAATTTCCCCTCTGCTCCAGCGTCACTGGCTAAGCAGGCACCCAACTCAGGGCTTGGTACTTGCTTTCTGCCTACCACTTTTCTCATCAATATCATTATGGCTCAATATCTCACTTTATTCAAGTCAGCAATGAGCAAGGCCTTTCTTAATTTCCCTTAAATAGCACCCCTTTCTCTATCACTCTCTACCGTCTTACACTATTTTCCTTAATAGCAAAAATCATCTGACATACTTGTCTTTGTTCTCATTAAAGTTTGTGAAAATAGGGAATTTTGTTTGTAACTGGCTTCTGAGAAAACTATTTCTTTTATATTTGCATTTTAGTTAGATTTCTCCCTTTGACTCCTTTGATCATGTACTAAAATGATCTTAGTTATTTAAACTGCACTAATAAAAATAACACTAGGCTATCTGGTAAAAATAGATTGTCTTATTTTAATATATTATGTTCCCATTAGAAGATTCAAAGCAGATTATGTTTATGTCTAATTCACATGCTAGTCTCAATTTATTTCTATTAAATCTTTTTTTTTTTTTTTTGGTACCCGAGATCGAACTCGGGACCTTGCACTTGTGAGGCAGGCAGCGGAACCACTGAGCTAAATCTCCGGTCCTACTAAAATCTTTATTCCCTATACTATTTCTCCCAATACGACAAAGTGCTTTAAAATTCTGTTGGATATTATTTTAAGCATGCTTTTTAATGAAGAAAATAAGCTGTCTGTTTAGTGGTTGTGGGGATCAAACCCAGACTGCAGGATTTCTATTACAGAACTATATCGCCAACACTTGAATAACTTTTAAATGTTGTTCAAAGGTACCACATACAACTAGGAAAAGCAAGCCATATTTTTCTCTTACCAACCAATTTTTCTTACAAGCTTAAACAAAATTTGAAAATTATCTTCAACTTAAATATAGAATATTATCCCCCATTTTTCTTAGATTCTTGGCAAAAACCAAAGTGTATATAGATGCCATTTTTTTTGTTTGTTCTGAAATTTTTTTAAGACAGCACCTTGCTTTGTAATTCAGACTGGCCTCAAATTCATGGTAATCCTCCTGCTTCAGCCTCCCAAATGCTGGGATTGCAGGCAGGCATGTGCCACCACCCAAGGTTCACACATGCCATTTAGAACCTCCACTTCAATCTGATCCCTGTTCTTCTCTCTCCCCAGTATATGCCACCACACTGTAGAGCTCAATAACTGAGCCAGGACATTCTAGAAAAACAGTTCTGGGAAATACTTTTCTTTCCTCATGCTTTTACTAAAGGAGTTTAGCAATCATCTGACTAGCAACTGAAAAGGACAAACGTGTTTCTACAGATGATGTTCCAATTTCAATTAGTTAAGAACTATTCATGAGTCAGGCCAGTGCTCCAGGCCAGACTCAGAAGATATACTGTCCATTCATGTCTGTAAATAGGCTGTGTACAAGTAGATCACCTTAGCTGTGTTAAAAACTTCTCCATTACCATCTATAACTTCTAACACTCATAAAATTAAATTAATGCATGAATCAGTCTCTTATTGTGCCAAGTTAGCAATCGTCCCACTTTTCATTGATTCAACTCTAAATAATTAGAACATGTTGATTTTAAAGATGCCCTAAAAAGCTTACGCCATTCTGGGCCAGGGATTTAGCTCAGTGGTTTGGCCACCTGCTGCGAAAGCGCAAGGACCCGAGTTCGATCCCCGGTACCAAAAAAAAGCTTACCCCATTCTGCCTTAACTTCTTTAGTCAATGTGCATTGTCTTTCATTATTCTCAAAATCACTTGTAGGCAGAAAACTCAGATGTAAAGGTTATTTGATTATCTGCCCCTTCTCAAAAGGAGCCTGCTTCAAATCCAAATAATGCTTGTTCAAGTCCTTCCTCACATTAAGCTCAGTCAGGGTCCTATGGCTTCCCCACTGGGTTCCAATCGCATTCCTTGGGACCAAAAGCATAAACTCAATGCTTCCATGTGATAGTCTTTCCAAGAGTTAAAGGATGTTATCAAGTCCTCTGCTAGTCACTTTAACCGTTTCTCCCATGGTTCAAGTATTACTGTAATTCTTTTTACTCTAACTCTCCTATTTATAGCTCATTTAGAATTCAGTCTTGTGTTGGCTTCGGCAGCACATATAGTAAAATTAGAATTTAGTCACTAAGTCTAAACACAATACATGCACTATCAAATGATGGGCAATATATTTTTGTTCTTGTTTTTTTCTTTTGGTACTGGGGATTGAACTCGGGACCTTGCACTTGCGAGGCAGGTGGCGAAACCACTGAGCTAAATTCCCAGCCCCAAAAATAACTTTTTTTTTTTTTTGGTACCAGGGATCAAACTTGGGTCCCTGCGCTTACGCAGCAGGCGGTGAAACCACTGAGCTAAATCCCGGGCCCGGCAATATATTTTTGGAAAAACATATGAACAAACTTAAGAAGTAAACACTGTGTGTGTCTAATCCCTTTTCATACCCAATTTCAATTACTTCAGTCTGTGATCACAAAGTTTTTTTTTTTTGGTTTTGTCTATAGCATACTTACAACCATACTGGTTCTGGGGCTGGAAGTATAGCCTAATGGTAAGAACGTTTACCTAGCACACACAAGGCCCTGTATTCAATCCCCAGCATTGCCAAGAGAAAAAAAATTTCAATAAATTTGTATCACTGAAATTTTGAACTTGAGAAAACTGCATTTATGAGAAACAGACAAATGCTTTGGCCTTAGTTTTCAGTAGAAAATGTAAATACCACATGCTATCTACAAACAAACAAAGATCATATTTACATTTCAAAAACACTAAGTGATTTAATTACTACCTGTGGTTCAAATCCCATGTCAAACATTCTATCTGCTTCATCTAAAACGACATATGTCACTCTTCGAAGATTTGTGACCCGACCTAAAGTGGGAAGAAAAAAGAAAGAAAGAAAAAAACCCTTAAAAATCAGTCACAATTTATTTTATGACTACCAACAACTCTAAAAAACTGTAAAGGGAACTAAAATGCCTGACTTAATCAGAGGGGTAGGTTAACAGTGAAAAGAAATTTTGGTCTACAATGTCTTAATCTAGTGGCAAATACTTTCTGACAATGGATATATGAGGCCCTTTATTTTGTCAAACTCGTCTCTTGCATACCATCATAGGGCCTGAAGAACCTGTAAAATTCAGAAAACAGCCCTCTCCAAAACACATCATAAAACTAAGACTGAGATGAAGCATCGAGCCACATCAGCCATTATCTGACAGCATCACCTAGAAAAAAACATATTAGAGATTACAGCGTATGTGTGGAAAGCAAGTTCCAGTGCAAACTATTTCAGATGCAGAAACTCTTTATATTGGTTTACAATCTACTTCCATATAGTTAGAAGCTCCTTAAATGGGTATATCGACATTAACGAGAACCTATTCAACATGATTAGGTGGCTAACATGTTACACAAAAACCCTGAATACTAAATACATTATATAAATACATTTTTCTATAGAAAGATACAAATTCAATTTTATTAAGTGCTCCCCCATCAGTCTAAATAAATGCTCCTGGCTTAACTAGTGAAAGCTAAATTTGTACACAGAAAAACCCTTTTTAAAGGATTAATACAAGCATTGCTAGCACTGTTGCATCAATCACCTGGCAAAAACATGTATGAAATAGTTATTAAAGATAAACCAAAAGGACACACAAAGGAAAAAGGTAAAATTAATCAAGATGAATTTCAGGATATTTAACTAATGCAGCATTGAGAAAAAACAAGGGATTATTTAATCAGCATTCATCCCACATTTCAAATGCCATACATGCACAATGACTTATCAAACAATGTCAGTATCACTTTATCAACTTCATATAGAATTAGAAATAAATTTACACAGAAATTCAAGTAGAATGCTGTTAGAAACATGCATTACTCAGTTTTTAATATTCTATTTATATATACAGAATACTGCAAGGGAGACCTTTGAAAGCATTTTCTTCAAAACATAAAAATGAGCCAAAATAAGTACTTCCTAGTATTTAAATATTCCACACTAACATTTGCAGCCCCAATTAGTTTTTGCAAGATTGGGAACAGCATTAAATTACCTACCTTTGGTGGTTTAAGTCTCGGAAGCCCAGTTCTATAAATCTTGAAGGGCCTTTTTCCACAGAAGTTAAATAATGTCAACAGTTTAGTAACAGTTTTGATAGGGAAAAATTTAACAAAGCATAACAACTGAGCCAAAAACATGCAACATTTATAAAAGATAAAATTTCTTAAAGCTGCAATATCTTATCTAGTATTGTAAAAGACTAGCTCCTGTTGGAAAAAGTCTATATTTTATAGAGAAAAGCATAGTATCCAACCCTTTCAAAAGCAAAGCTAGGTAAAAATTGGATTAAGAATCCAAGTTATGTGCTAAAAAAGATCAGAGGGAGTTACTTCTGAAAATAATTTTAAATTGAATTGCAAAAACAAATTACTAATGCTTACAACAAAAACTTGTTATAATACAAATTTTAAGATATTATAGCTTTAAGAAGAAATGTAGAAACCGTTTGTTGGTTTCCTATATCTGCTTTAACAAAAATGTGTAAAATTCAAAAATAAAAGAGAGAAAAAGAATATCCCTAACTTACCACTGTTAGCTGCTAACATGTCAATCATTCGACCAGGTGTGCAAACAATAATTTCAGCACCTCTTTTCAGTTCAGCAATCTAATAAAAGAAGATGAAATTATATAGCCTATTCATCACTAATACTTAAATAGATTTGAAAATATAGTATGTGGCCTTTGCATAGCTCTAGTAGACAACACAAGTTCTGACAGAAGACTCCAAAGCCTAATTCTTTGGAATGCGGAAGCACTGGTAACAGAACAGAATGGGTAAACTGCAGCACAACCAATGACATGGTACCAAAATTGGAAACAAGTGAAACTAAGGAATTTTACCAAGTTTAATTTGCCACTATACCTCAAAACCAAAAAACAAGGTGAGAGTAGTAAAAATACATACATGTAATATATCTGTGTATAATTTTTCAAATGTAGGTTTGACCATTAGTAAATATAAAAATCAATTTCCTGAGTGACAATCAGAATTTTTTAAATAAATAGAATGAAGCCACTGTGCAGTAGCACACATCTGAAATGTGTGCATTCTAGGAGGCTGAGGCAGAACGATTAACAAGCAACTTAGCGAGGCCCTGTCTCAAAACAAAAAATTTTAAAAAGGGCCCAGGATGTAGTTCAGTAGGAAGGTCTGGTTTCAATTCCTTAGTACACTTGATCTTAGCCAAAAGACCAAGAAGCAATTCCTTGGTACTACAAGAAAAGAAAAAATAACCAGAGTGCCCTACCAATAAAACTTGACTTTATTTATAAAGACATAATATGAAGGCCAGGGATTTAGCTCAGTGGTTTCGCCACCTGCTGCGCAAGCACAAGAACCCGAGTTTGATCCCCAGTACAAAAAACAAACAAACAAACAAGACATAATATGCATGTATGTACTGGGTTATTTTGTAAATGTATTTGTCACTTTTTTGCTTTTTAAAATTTGTTTATAAACATTTCTTATTATAAGCTGTGTACAGAAAAATTGACATAAACTTAGAAAATAAACTAAAACAACACTAAGATTAAGTATTTAAAATAACATCGGGATAACAAAAACAAGTATTACTGAAAAGTGTTCTGGTAACACTAGTCCTAAGAAAGGGGTCTGTAGTTAAAACAAATTCAAAAAAATATCACTTGGTTTTTCCCATTTTTGTTTTATTTCTTTTTTGGGGGGGGGGGGTGCTAAGAACTGAACCCAGGGGAAGTCTACCACTGAACTACACCCCAAGCCCTTTTTAAGTCAGGGTCTCCAGGCTGGCCTCAAACTTACAATCTTCCTGCCTCAATCTCCTGAGCAGCTAGGATTATAGGCATGTGCCACCATGCATGACCATGATTCAATCTTATAATTATTTTCATTCATAATATTCGTTATGATTTTACAGTCACTATTCAAAACACTAAAATAAAAAATCACTTTTTACTTTATTGAATGTTTCTTTTATACCTGCTCACTGATTCCTGTTCCTCCATAAACACAGACCACTCTAAGTCCTAGGGTCTTCGAAAACTTCTTACATTCTTTAGTAATCTGTAAAGCCAGTTCTCGAGTTGGAGTCATGATGACAGCTGAAAAGATAAATATGTCAAAAGCCTAACCATTAAAGTTCTTGAAAGGCTATGCTTTAAAATACTAAGTATAACCTCTGCAATACAATTCAGATATTAGTAAAAAAAATTTAATACAACTCAGAAAATTATATTTCAAAAGCTTTATAAATCCAGAGATTGTAGTGAAGGATAAGTATAAGCAGATTTTTAAGAACATGCTACAGGAAAATTTAGTTAAAAGTCACATTCAACCCTCAGGAAAATACTTGGTTGAACAGAATATAAATAGTTTTCAACTTCAAATCACAGAACAATAGAAAAGAAAAAAGAAAAAAAGGGACTCACTGTCTGGCAGAAGCCATACTGCCGCTTCCTGAAACAACCTCGGTCTGAAGGGCACAGACAGAGGAGAAATGTATTTTGCCCTGTATTTCCAAGAGAGGAGCTGAAAAATTTTCCGAAACCCTACTCAAATTTGCAGAAGGTATCCTTGCCAAAATGATCAAGAAATCTGAACTTGAAGACCAACGCTGAAACACTGGCACTACAGCCTTGCAAGGCAAAGAAAAAAACATCTAGGAAAATATTTATTCCCTATTATCTTCCGTGTTGAGTTTGTTATCTACTGATTTGGGGCTAAGAACAAACCTCAGCATAAGTAAACAGATGCACAAGGGGTCCACATGCTGAGTTTAAAAACTGAGCTGTGCCAGGACAGGCTGTTTTTGTACTTCTGAGATGTCACTCCAGAGCTCTGAAGAGTCTCACTCCACCTGCTGGTAAGGGGAAATCAGCCCCCAAGTGCCACATTGATAAGGAAATGTACATTAAGATATCTTTACTGTCATAATTAAGAACATTATAGAATACCAGGTCATTCTGATTAGCTGAAAACATATCTTCAAAAAACAATTTAATGAAAAGAATTGTACCTATTGGGCCCTCTCCTTCTTCTAATGACCTCTGATCCATGATGTGTCTAAACATGGGCAACAGAAAAGCAATGGTCTTTCCACTTCCTGTCTTGGCAATACCAATCAAATCTCGTCCAGACATTATCGCAGGAATTGCTTGGGTTTGGATTGGCGTGGGCTTCTCATAACCATGCCTAAAAAATAATAAAGACCGGGAAAGAATTGAGATTCCAGACCCCTCAGAGTCCTGTAAAAGTAAGTTCTTCCAAAGTATGATATATCCATACAATGTATTATTCAGCAATAAAAAGGAATGGAAAGGGCCGGGGATTCAGTGGTTTTGCCGCCTGCTGCGCAAGTGCAAGGACCCGAGTTCAATCCCCAGTACCAAAAAAAAGGAATGGAAAACTGGGCATGGTGGCACACGCCTGTAATCCCAGCACTCGGGAGGCTGAGGCAGGAGAATCACCTCAAGTTTGAGGCCAGCCTGGGCTACACAGTGAGTTGAAGGCCAGCCATAGCGAATCTGAAAGGAATAGAAGTACTATAAGATCCTAAAACATGAATATTGATAACGTTTTGATTATACTAAATGAAGTCAGTCAGAAAAGACTTACTATATAATCCTACTTATATGAAATCTCCAGGATAGCCAAATCTATAGAGATAGGAAGTACATTAATGGTAACCCAGAGTAGGAAAGACAGGATTAGACGAACTCTTAATGGATATGAAGAAGAAAATGTACTAAAATTAGATGTCTGCACAATACCATAAGCATACCATTTAGTTGTGTACTTTAAATGATAAACTTTAGGGGCCGGGGATTTAGCTCAGTGGTTCCGTCGCTTGCCTTGCAAGCGCAAGGACCCGAGTTCGATCCCCAGTACCAAAAAATAAAAAATAAATGATAAACTTTGTATTTAAATTATATCTCTATAAAGCTGTTTAAGGAAAAATAAAAGACTGAGGTAGAAAGCTTGCTCTACCTCGCGTGACACCCCAAGTTACATCCCAGGCACTGTGCAACACACACGCAAAGGAGTAAATTTCTCTATTAGAGTAAAAAAGTAACCCAGAGAAATTGTTCTAGTGCCCAAAGCCTCATGTGCTTATAGGCAGGACTTTTGGGAAGTGACTGGATTATGCGGCTTATAGCTGACTTGCTGTTAGGAGATGGGGTCTGTTGAGAAGAGGCTGACCACTGGGAGCATGGCCTAAAAGGATTTACCTCCCTCCAGTTTCCTCCCTTCGCTCTCTCTTACTTCCTTCCCTGCTGCTAAACAATGAGAAGCTCTCCTATACCGTGCCTCTCTATCATGCTTGGAGCCCGTAGACTATGGACTAATACCTCTAATAAACTGTGAGCCAAAATAAAACTTTCTTCCTTTAAGAAGCAGATGTTGCATATTATGTCTCAGTGACAAGTGACTCAGACAGAGAGAGACATTTGTGTAAAAGGGCTACTTTGTTTTTTTAGACAGGATTATGTAGTTCAGGCTGGTCTTGAATTCAGTGATTCTCCTGCCTCAGTCTCCCGAGTGCTGGGATTACAGGTGTACACACTACACTTGGCTCAAAGGGCTATTTCAAATAGCAAGATATTAAGAAACGTGGAAAACCATCAACCACTTACTTTTTGAGAGAATTTAAGATCTTCATGGAAATTCCACACTGGACCCAAGATTTAATTGGTTTGGGACAACCTTTTCCTTTTACTGTAATGCCTTCCATTTCCAACCGAAATACATTCACCTCTACAAAACAAAATCCAAATTAAATACTCTTAAAAATTGTTCTAGGGCCCGGAATTTAGCTTAGCGCTTCCACCACCTGCCTCGAAAGCACAAGGTCCTGAGTTTGATCCCTGGTACCAAACCAAAAAAAATGTTCTACTGGTGCTCTTTACTTTTCAATTAGGCATGGTAAGACTTAGAACTTTTAACATTGCTTTAATATTACCAAAGATAATTTCGGATAAAAGCTACCACAGGAAAACACTGACTATCTCAGAGTCAGTCAAAGCAATTACTGCTATGAGCAACTAAAGACAAAGAGAAAACATCCTAATTTAAATAATTTGATTTTTGTTTCTTAAATTGCAATTAAAATCAAAGAATAAGGAATATTTGACAAGAAATTTGACTTGTTCTCCTAGCATTAGTTAACCAGATTACTTTTATTCAACCAACACACAGATTCACAATGGTGCCTAACTCTCATATACTAGAAGGGCTAACAGAAATATTCCATTTGTAACTTCACATGAAGACTATTCTAATCCTAAAAACATCTTCAACTACTTGAGCTGCATTAATTTTTGCTCAATTTTTAAGAATTTCCCAAAACATCCTACAACTCACAGACCTATCTATATTCCTCCTAGGCAAAGTAAGGTATATCCCCCTCTGATCCCACTATAACCAATAAATGAATAAGAGAATTTTACCCTCTTGAGACATTTTTGCTAGTTCTGGAACTTCAACGTAAAAGTTTTTTCTGAATGGTTCATATTCAATTTTTCCATGATCAACTGGTTCTAGAAGTTTTCTCTGTTTTGTCTGATAGCCTGTAAGGGCTGTCTGAAGATCAACTTCTTCCTCCTCTGAAGAATACTTTATTTTACCAAAACAAAAAGAGTAAGTAGAAAGTTCATTATTATTTTACCTGTATGGGAAACAAAAGTTCTAAATTTTAAAAAATCTTCCTGTCCTAGAAACTATTTCTTGGCTCTCTCTCTTTTTTTTTGAAACAGGGTTTTGCTATATAATTCAGGCTGGCCTTGAACTCAATATGTAGCCCAGACTGACCTTGAACTCATGGCAATCCTCCTGCCTCAGCCTCCTAAGTGCTGGGATCACAGGCGTGTGCCAACACATCCAGCCTGGCTCTTTTTTCTACTTTTGAAACAAACTACTTGACCCACAAGATTTTCATACTACTCTAAGAAACTTAAAACCTCTTAATTTGAAAATCATCTAAAATGATATTTGTCACTTTGAATAGAAATACTTTAGATCCTGAAGAATTTTTCAATTTAATTTATTTTTTATTTTTTTATTTTATAGAAAGTTAAAATGGGGTCGGGATGTAGCTCAGTGGTGCCGCGCCTGCCTGGCAAGCACAAAGTTCTGAGTTTCATCTCTGGTACCAAAAAAAAGGTTAAAATGTCAACCAAAGCTAAAATAATTTGACAGATTGCTTTAATAAAGTTTTGCTGATGTTCTCACTATATAGATCATTACAGCATATTAATGGGAAGAAATTAAATTTATTCTGTTATTTCATTTCTTCTTTCCACATTGTATGAGCTAACAAGTGGAAAAAATGGGTATACAGCAAAGGATGAAAATGTCAGAATGATCTACCACATTGATGTTTAGCTAAATACTACTACAGGAGCCAAGAATTGCTTGTGATAGTGTGCATATCTGAAATTCACATCTCCATCAATACTCTGCAATAAATACTTTTAAGACAATACCATGAACAAAGTAAAAATTAAAGAGTCACCTCCATGGCATCCTGGTCATTCTCCATCAGCTCACCTTTCTTCTTGTCAGAATCTACAACTGCTTTTTTGGTAGTCACAACAGTGACAACTTTTGTGACTGTTGGCCCCGACTTCTAAAACAAAAAAGCAATATAAAATATTTTGCAAAAGTGAAACACAAATTATATACCACATGCAACAAAATGGTTAAGTTGGAATTTTATTTCAGATTAATTGAGTGACAACTTAATGAAAAAGTCCTTTCTCTTTAATTTGTATGAATTTTTAAATGTAATATAATCACGTATTTATACTTGATTTATTACATATTATACATTTTTAAAATACCACTAGATGATACTCCACACTTATTAGATAAGCAAGGCACTGTTCTGAGACCCTGCATAAATCAATAAAACAGGTAAAGATCAGTGCTCCTGGGGAATTTAATTTGTAGAAGGAAAAAACAGTAAACACATTAAAAGTTATATAATTTGTGAAAAGGTAATGAATGCTATAAAAAAAGGAGAATGCTAAGAAATTTGAAAAGGGCTTAAGAGTGTAACATGTAAGCAAAGACACTAAACAAAGATGGCAGTGAAAGAGTGGTTTTTGAAAGTACATTTACAGCTAAAATTTGCCAGTTTTTCTAGTATTTAGTAAAATGATTGCCATCTCTATAATGAGGAAACAAAAACATTAACTTTATAAAATTGTAAATATAAGACAATGCAATGAATTCAAGTTCTCTGACTTTTTCTTCAGAATATAATTTTTAAAATAGAATATGAATTTTTAAAAATAGGAGATGATGAATACATTCATTATGTATCGCAAACATACTAAATTTTTTTTAAATAAAGAAAAAATTCCATACCTTTTCATTTCCCCCACCACCTTTTACACTTCTCATATTAAACTTTTTTACTTCTTCTTTCACTTCTTCCATGTAAGCATCTAATGGATCTAACTCCTCACCCTCCATGTCATTTCCTTCCTTTTCAGCTTCTGCAGGATCGTCTTCATCATCTAAAATCAGAATATGCTTTCTTTATACACGTGCTTTGAAGGAATTACCCTACACAGACCACATGCAATTTCTAACCTATACCCTCACTACCTAAAGTCACCTTTCCAATTCCTCCAGCCACACTGCACTCCAAATACTCATATTTCTAAGTTCTTCCTTTTTGAAATCAGGCATATTCTTGAATAATAATGAGAAAAGAAATGCTAATGAATCAATTAACTAAAAAGAAAGATTCTGTCTGAATGTGGCTCAGTGGCCAATCACAGGCCTGGCATAGGCAATGCTCTGAGTTCAACCCCCAGCACCACAAAAGAGGGGGGAAAAAAAGGAGAGGTGGGGAAGATATGGAAAGTATATATTTCTCTCTTGAGTTACGAAAATTTAAAGAAAGGATTTGGAAGTACACTCTCAATTTACTCTCATAACTAACATTTATACTAGTATTAAAAAATTAAAGCTAGGGCTGGGGATTTAGCTCAGTGGTTCAGGCGCCTGCCTCACAAGTGAAAGGTCCCGAGTTCGATCCCCGGTACCAAAAAAAAAAAAAAAAAAAAAAAAATTAAAGCACAGGGCCGGGGATTTAGCTCAGTGGTGCCGCCACCTGCCTCGAAAGCACAAGATCCCAAGTTTGATCACCAGTACCAAAAAAAATTAAAGAGCTCAGAAGCTCAGGTGTTGCATGTTCTCCCTAATATGTGGAAATCTAAAAACGGGATGACAGGGAAGTAGAAGGGAAACTAGTACACACTGGATAAGAGGAAGGGAAGAGGGGTGGGTATAAGGTGGATGATAGTGGGGTAGATATGATCAAAATATATTATACACATTGAACACCCCCTCAATGTGAAACCTGGAGGGTGAGGCAAGGGAAGTGACAGCGGAAGAAAAGATCAAGTATGTCATGTACATGTATGAATCTGCCCTCAAAAAGCCATACATTGCTGGGTGTGGTGCCAAAAGCCTGTAATCCCAGCACTTGAGATACTGAGGCAGGAGGACTGCAAGTTTGAGGCCAGGCTGAGCTACATAGTGAGTTCAAGGCCAGCCTGACCTGCAAAGTGAGTCCCTGTCTCAAAACACAAAAACAAAAAATTACTAAGTCCATAAGTACTTTAACTGTTCACTCTAAAGTAAAATCAGTGATTCTTACTGAACACTACTATACAACTTAATTTTAACATAAATGCTAAAGGAGGCACTTAAAAATCTCGTTATGATCAGGTGGTGGCTTGTGTCTATAGTCCTAGCTACGCAGGAAGCTGAGGTAGACAGCTTGGCCCCAGGGGTTAGACCTAGCCTGGATATTATAGTGAAAACACCTATCAAAAAAATAAAAGCAGGGGCCGGGGATTTAGCTCAGTGGTTTTGCCACCTGCTGCGCAAGCGCAAGGACCTGAGTTCGATCCCTGGTACCAAAAAAAAAAAAAAAGCAGGGCCAGGGATTTAGCTCAGTGGTTTCAGTGCCTGCTGCTCAAGCACAATGACCCGAGTTCGATCCCGACTACCAAAAAAAAAAAAAAAGCAAACCAAAAAACCCTTAATATGAATCCAGCACTTCTGCTGCTAGGTTTATAAATATACCCCCAAAGAATGAAAACAATGACTCAAATATTTAGAGCACTTGCTTAGTATGGGGAAGGCCATGACTCACATCAGTGTTAGTCACAGTAACCAAAGGCAGAAACTACCTAAATGTAAACAGATGAATGGATAATCAAAATGTGACACACATACAGTGCAACATCACTCAACCATATAGAAGAAATTCTGACACATAAAGACATTATGCTAAGTGAGCTGGGCGTGGTGGCTCACATTTGTAATCCCAGCACTTGGGAGGTTGAGGCAGGAGGATCCCATGAGTTCAAGGTCAGCCTGGACTACATAATGAATTCAAGGCCAGCCTGACTACATAATAAGCCACTGTCTCAAATCAATCAATCAATCAATCAATCAACCAATCAAGCAAGCAAGCAAGCAAGCAAGCTAGCTAGCTAAGTGAAATAAGCCAGACACAACAGGACAAATATCGTGAGGTACCCAGAATAGGCAAGTTCAGAGAATAAAGTAGAATGAAGATTGCAACGGTGAGTTGCTTAATGGGTAGAGTTTCTTGGGACAATAAAAAATTTTGGAAATGGACATTGGTAATGGCTGTTCAACACTGTGAATGAATTTACCACCACTGAACTATCTACTGTAAAATGGTTTAAAGGGTAATTATCATACTATGTACACTACCTAGAATATTCTATTTCCACAATATTGTGTTATATATACTTCTACAATAAAAAAAACAGTATGAAATATTGTTAATAATTCTATTTTAATAGTCTATAGGAATTGTTATATTTTCAGTTAGGCTAGTAACAATACCATCATCATCTTCTAAACTCCATTTTTTCCCTTGTTTCATCTCTTCAATTTCCTTTTTCAGTTCTCCTATGTTTTCCATGGCCTTTTTACGTTGCTCTTCTCTCCATTTTTCAACTCTTTCTTTTCGCTTTCTCATTTCTTCCTCCAGCTTATTCTGGTCAAAGTTCTTGGGAAGAAAAAAAAGATAGGGAAAGTAAAAAGCAAAGCCAGTATCAGTGATTTTACCTGAAGTGACATTCCAAGTATTTCAAAATATAAAAGGAAAAATAGGTACACTCAATGTAGGCCAGATTTAGTAGATCACACATCTTTATAAATATACCTACAAATATATTATCACAATGAAAAGTAACTTCAACTAAGAAAGATGACAGATTTCAAATTCTATGACTTAATCTCATTTTAATTACAAACATTACGCACATATAAACCACAATTTTTCCTTTGTTAAAAACTGAACCATAAGGCCAGGCATGGTGGCGCACACCTGTGATCCCAGCACTCAGGTGGCAGAGGCAGGAGAATCACTGAGTTCGAAGCCAGCCTAGGGTACATAGTGAGTTCAAGGTCAGCGTGAACTACATAGTGAGACCCTGTCTCAAAAAAAAAAAAAAAAAGAAAAAAGAAAAAACTGAACTAAAGTTGGGCATGGTAGCACATGCGTGAAATCCCAGCACTCAGAGACAAGAAGATTACAAGTTTGTGCCCAGCCTGGGCAACTTAGCAACTCAGTGTCAAAATAAAAAATTAAAGAAAGGGTTAGTGATGTACCTCAGTGGTTGAGTACCCCTGGGTTTGATCCCTAATACAATTTTTTTATTTTGGTACTGGGGATCAAACTCAGGGCCTTGTGACTGCAAGGCAGGCACAGAAGATTCCTAATACAATTTTTAAAAGAGAGAGCATGAATTTGAATCAAAAAGTTCCCAGTTATTCTCAATTTTAAATTCTCCAAACCCCTCCAAGATTGCCTCTAGGAAAAGCCATTTTCTATTACAGATTAGTAAGTAAATAAAATCTCAGCACTCAGGAGGCTGAGTTAGGTGGAGCGTCTTGAGTTCGAGGCCAGCTTGGACTACACAGTGAGTTTAAGGCCAGCCTGAATTGCATAGGGAGGCCCTGTTTCAAAAAAAAAAAAAAAAAGTAAGTAAACAAAATCTATGTATCAACATGATTAAGCAGTTTTGGACTTTTACGCTTTAGGTCTATCCTTCCAAGAACTAACCATTCTAAGGACTTCATCAAGACTATTAATGAGATGTCTAGAGGAGGAATCAAATCACTTTTATAACACAAGAATCAAAATTTATGCTACCATTATAGCTGTTTATGGAAATATATGTAAAAACACAGGTGAAGAAAATACTACAAATTTCTGGCTGGGCACAGTAGCACATGCCTGTAATCCCAGCACTTGAAAAGCTGAGGCAGGAGAATCACTGCTCATTAAAGGCCACCCTGGGCTATGTAGTGAGTTCAAGACCAGCCTGAACTACATAGCGAGACCCTGACTCAAAAAACCAAAAAAAGAGGGGCTGGGGATTTAGCTCAGTGGTTCTGCCGCTTGCCTCGCAAGCACAAGGACCCAAGTTCGATCCCCGGTACCAAACAAAAAAATTCGTATTTAACTTGTATTTATGAACACATGATAGAACAAATACTAAAAAAAAAAAAACTAAGAAAAGAAAAGAAAGAAAAAAATTCAAACTTCTAAGAGTGACAGTGTTTGGGGCATCTGGAGTTACAGAAAATTACTTCTGACATCAAATGTCATGTAACATGATTATATTGCATTTCAAAAATAAATTTATTTCTCAAACAACAAAAAGAAAGCTTAAAAAGAAAAAAAGCCTTACACCTCAATTTATATTCTTTATAGTAAGGCATCTTCTCTAAAGATAAGCCCCTGAAAGCTTATTTGCCTTTCTCAAGATCACCCATTCAATAGAATAAACTGGTTTAGAAACCAGTTGCCCAGCCTTCCCACGTTTTATCTTTTACTGTTACTCTGCAAGCAAGCCCCTTAATAAAAAGGAATGACTTAAAAGAACAGAACACACTGAAAATAAAAAGAAAAGCTATAACACATTCTAAAGTGAGCAAAAGATATTAATAGGCAACTCAAAAGAAAAGTGCAAATTGTCAATAAATTTAAGAAAATACATTCTTTTTGTGTGGTAAGTTTGTATATCTACATTTATACTATTTAAATATTCACTCATTAAAAGACATGCAATTCAAAATAATGAGATATTGATCACTTCCTAGGAGACTGATAAAATTAAGTTTTGACATCTCCATGATGACAGGGATATAAGAAAACAGACATTTTCATAAGTCTAAATTCTGAAGTCTGGGGGGCAGATTCTGAAGTCTAAATTTATATAACTTTTTCGGAAGCAATTTGATAACATTTACATGGTCTGATCACATTTTGCACGTATAAATTTATAATATGTATAAATATATAACTTTTCAAAAAAATTTCTCATGGGGACAATTATTTTTTATCCTGTTTATAGTATACATTGCTCATTTAAAAAGAAAGTACACATCATTATGAAAACAATTTGTCATTCCACAGAAACAAAACTGATATTATACAATTATTTTTAAATTAATAAACATACACCAGCATCTTTTTCTTTTTCATCTTCCTTATCATCTTTGTCTTTTTTCTTCTCTTTAGAACTTTCTCCACCTTCTGTTTTCTCCTTGGACCTAGATCTACCAAAAAAAAAGAGATAGAAAAACAAAGGGAGATATATCATCTGCTTATGCATGGAAACATTCATTTTAAAATACTTTTATAGATTACATTTCACTTTTTAGGTTAAAAATAAACTTCTAAGAATGAACTGCATTTTCATTTTCTAGTAATAAACACCTTAAAATTATAATGAAAAAAGCCAACCATGGTACCACATGCCTGCAATCTCAGCACTCGGGAGGCTGAGGCAGGAGGATCCCTTTGAGTTCGAAGCCAGCTTGGGCTACACAGTGAGTTCAAGGCCAGCCTGAACTACACAGCAAGATTCTGTCACAAAAACAAAAAACAAAATAAAACAAAACAGGAAACTTAAATAGGAAAGTAAATAATGGAGAAATACACCAAATCTTCATATTTTGCACAATAATCTATATATGGAATAATATTTAAAATTACAGTGGGCTTGCATTTTGACTTTATTTAAAGTTCCTTACAATGACTAAAATCTTATTTTTTTTGGTACCGGGCATCAAACTCAGGACCTTGCGCCTGCAAAGCAGGCGGTGGAACCACTGAGCTAAATCACTAGCCCTAAAATCTCAATTTTAACCTAATTAATTAATCAACCCCTTCCCTTTTTTCTGAGTACCTAAGAAATCCCTTCAGACTCAATGAAAATACCTAGAGGTGGAAAAGATATTCTTTACCATAAACTTCCTTCCTCTCTCAGCCTTCCTCAGTGCTGGTATTACAGGAAGGTGCTAGGGTGTTGGACTTCCAGTATAAATTTCTAAAAGTTTACAGTTTCATTATCTAATTTAGTCTTTAATCTGCTTTGAATTGCTTTTTGTGCACACAATGAAGTGGGCATATTCTGTTACAGACTAACAAATGTCGTTAGTACTATTTATTTTATTAGTACATGTTTGCAGTACAGCACCATTTATTTTTAAAAAAAACCTTTTTCTCAGCTAAAGTGTTACCTCTGTCATTTATCAAAGGACCATATGGGTGGATCTGTTTATGGGCTCTCTATATAATTCCACTCATCTATGTATGTATCCCTACATTAATACGATACTGTTCTAATTTCTGTAACTTTTTTGGGGGGGCGGGGGTACCAGGGATCAAATTCAGGACCTTGTGCTTGCAAGGCAGGTACGGTGCCACTGAGCTAAATTCCTGGCCCTTGACAAGTCTTAATAAGACTTGGTAGAGGGAGTTCTCCAACTTTGTTCTTCAAGAATATTTATGTTCCTTTGCATTTCTAATCTTATGATCAGTTTATAATACATCCTTTGTCTGCTAAGGACCTTTAAAAACACCAGTACAGTATATGTAATAAAATATTTTTCCTGAATCTATTTAAATAATCATAACTTTTCCCCTTAAACTTATGAGCCAAGAATATTACACTGACTGATTTTCTAACGTTAAAACAACTTTTCATCTTACCAAATTTGTTCATGATGTACTTTTAATATATATTGTTGCATTAGGTATGCTAATTTTTATGTTCAGATTAAGTGTTTCCTATAATTTTCTTTTTTCATACTGACCTTGTCAGGTTTATATTAATATGTACATTAGTCTCAATTCATAAAATCTCTGTTCATCAAAAGCACAAGCTGAACAACCATAATCTGAAATCCAAAATCTGAAATGGTTGCATACCCATATACCAAAGATGGAACTACATATGATAGGTTGCAATCAAAATATAGACATACTACCAAGCATTGTTTTATTTTGTTGGGGTTTTTTTTGGTACCGAGGATCGAACTCAGGTCCTTGCGCTTGCGTAGCAGGTAGCAAAACCCCTGAGCTAAATCCCTGGCCCATATCAAGCATTTTGTATAAGAGATACTCAATCTGTATGTACCATTATAGAAAGTGAAAACAAAACACTTTCATAAATCACCGTTAAAGAGAGAAATAACCCAGTAGGAAAACAAGCAAAATATGAAAATGTACTTCAGAAAAGGAATTCAAAAGGCCAATAAAAATATGAAATCTTCAACCACTATAACAGCAATCAGGAAAATACAAATTAAAAGTTCAATGATAATCAAACCAATTGGCAAAAATTTTAAAAACTGACAATTTCAAATATTGGAAAAAGTATGGAGCAACAGGATTCTCACATACTGATGTTGTGAGTATAATTAGTACAAACTTTTTCTAAAGCAATTTGGGATTACCTACTAAAACAAAGCTCCATCAGGCAACTTCAACTCTAGATATACACTCTAGGGAAACTCGTGCATATGTATACTAGCATATATACACAAGAATGTTCACAATGGCCCAAAGATTAATCAGACCAAACATCCAACTCCACAGAACCAATAAGTTGTGGTATACTCAGATTACAGAATACTAGTATTCAGCAATGAAAAAGAACTATTGATAGAAGCAACACTGATGAGTCTCAAACAATCCTGAACAAAGACAAAAAGAATACAGGACTCCATCGAAACTGTTTTTTCTAGATGCATACACAGGTGATAGTAACACAAAGAAGTGCAAAAAAGTTATTATGTAGCACAGAGGTCAGTAGTAGTTTTATCATGGAGGTAGAAAATTTAACTAAAGAAGGAAAATTGAGGGCTTCTAACATGTGACTTTTTTTTCTAGGCCTTGGTGGTGAGTATACAATGTTTGTTTTGTTATTATTTAATAAACTGCATGTTGATATTTCATTTACTTTTCTGAATTTATATTTTAATTTTTTTAAATCCCAATGGTATGCTGACATTGATGATATAAAAGTAAAATTTATAAAGTAAAATAAATAGAAAAAATGTCAATAACTAAAGAATATAAGGAAGCATATAAACTTATATACCATCTGTTCTATGATTCCAGTGAAGCAATACATTATGACTGACAAATTAAATCTCAAAATTAATGTTACTAACATCTGAAGAAAGCATAGTTAACTTACACAAGCAAAGCTTACCTATCCTCAATAGTAATTCAGCAATGCATACCATGTGTTTAGTTATTTGTCAAATGTCAAAATACTAAGAAAATAATTTCAAAGAAACAAGTAATTCACACAAAGATGTCTACAAAATATATTTCACATTAATACATATGTTAAATAAGTGTACAATGCACCAAATGTTAAAACTAACAGAATGTAGTACAGTGATGGCGAACCTTCTAGAGCTTTCAATAATACGAACAACTTGCTGTGGCACATGAACCACAGGTTTGCCGCCACTGATCTAGTATTTTCTGACTGAATCATAATTCCCAAATCCTACTAAATTAGATTCTGCCATTCTGCCAACAGTTCATAGTAGGAGCCAAATTCAGTAATTATTTATTTATAAGGATAAATTTATAAAGAGCCAAGTGCGGTGGCATACACCTGTAATCCCAACAGTTGAGAGGTTGAGGCAGTAAGATCACCACAAGTTTGAGGCCAGCCTGGGCTACTTAGTGAACTCAAGGCCAGCCTGAACTATATAGCGAGACCCTGCCTCAAAAAAAGAGTGAGAGAGAGAGAGAAAGAGTAATTATGATTTATAAGGATAAATTTACAGAGAGATAAAAGGAAGGCACAGGGAAGGGAGCCAGTTCCCAACCTGCAGACAGATACAGTTCAATGATAATGTTACCTATTCTCAGCTTTCTTGCTTTTATTGCCAGGACTGGAGGATCGGGATCTTCGGCCCCGGCTTCTACTCCTTGAGCGTCTCCTGTCTCGGCTGCGAGATCTTCTTCGCTCTCGGCTTCTGTCTCTCTCTCTACTTCTGGAACGCCTAAAAAGGGGACACTTCTCATTTACTCTATGGCCAAAAGGAGCTACTATTTTAGATCATGATTCTTTTTCATTTTAAAAGAAGCTTCTTCTTCTTCTTTGTAGCTCAGTGATACACTGCTTCCCTAGCATGTGTCCAATCCATAGCACTAAGGGGGAAAAAAAGCCTAAACCTAAGAATAATGACAGGCAGAATAAAACTGTGAATGATCACTGATCTGAGGATCAGGTGGCAATAATTGAAATCCTGGTGCTGCTAGTAACCAGTGACTCTGATAACAACAGTCAGATCTCTAACTTTCTCATCTCAGTTTCTTCATCTATAAAATATATACACTTCACTAGCTAATCTCAAAATGCTTCTTGATCACCAGAAAGTCAAAAACCAAATTCTAAACAATGAACTTCACTTAACAAGTACTTAACTGAACTGTGTGAAATTGCTCTTGGGACCACAAAATATGAGACTGAATTACTCTATTCACACTGTCATGGGTAAATTCTATTACATTCTCTCCTTCCAATGTCTAAAAAAAGTCAAATTCATTCTATGATTTCTTCACAGCACCAACTCATGTCTGTTATCTGTTCAGATTCCTCTCCTATTTTAAAGAGAAACATTATTAGAAAAAATGTTTTGGTGTAAGGAAAATTATTATTTAAAGACTGCTTTCTCAGCTCTGGACCGTCTACTCAGCTGATCACCCTCTCTATGTGGACGTGGTCTTGAAGTTTGCCCAGTTCCTGCTCACTGCCTGTGGCACTGAAGTGGCCCTTGACCTCCTAGAAGAACAGGTCATCTCAGAGGTGGGGGTCATGACTTGGGTGGGTCACCAGAAGCAGGAAATGATAGAAAGCAACTCCAAAATCATCATCCTGTGTTCCCGAGGCACCCAGGCCAAGTGGCAGGCTATCCTGGGCTGGGAGGAAGCCGCCATCCAGCTGCGGTGTGACCACCAGAAGCCCACTGGGGACCTTTTCACAGCAGCCATGCTTGACTAGTACCAATGAATACATAATTAAGTAAATGTTAAAAGGCCAGAGCTCATTGCAGCTCAGTGCAAAGGCCATGTTGAATCTCCACTACTGCAAAAAAAAAAAACAATAAAAACGTTTATACAGCAAGCAGGGCTGGAGAAGGCTCTGCTCTGTCTCCTCCTATCGTCTCCTTCAGGGGCTGCTCTGAACACAGTGGTCAGCTCTCTTGGGGCTGAATCAGGGCCTCAATCAACAGAACATATTACTTACTTTTTTACTTCATTTTTTACATCCCTCAATGGGCTCCAAGGGTTCTCTTTGGATTACGGAAAATACAGCTTAAAGCTTCCAAACTAAAAATACTGTTTGAGAGTCTTTGCAGGCAAATCCTCCTGGATTTAATCAAATCATGGGGATAAAGCACAGAACCCATAAATGAACCACTAAATTCCAGTAAGTAAGTTAAATTGAAACAACTTGATGGCAGAAACTCCGTGGGGCTTGTTTTCCAACGAAAAGTATTGTTTAGAGGAATAAACTAAACTTCCTAGGAATATTGCAATGCTGTTTGAATAATAATTTGAAACAAGGTCTGGGAGTGGGAATGGAGTGCTCAGGTCACTTGCTTTAAGAGATAACAAATACAGATAACTTAAAAAAGTGAAGAAAAGAAAAAAAGAAAGAAACATCCTTTTTGGAGTTCAACTCCTCCAATTTATCCCTGGCCCTTTGGAGATTAATGTCTTACCTCAGACGCTTCCTGTCCCTTGACCGAGATCTTCTTTTATCCCTGCTTCTTGACCTTTCTCTCCTTCTATCTCTATCTCTACTTCTAGACCGTCTGTCATCTCCACGTTTACTTCTTTTATCTGAGGGTGAGCGACTTCTAGATCGACTTCCAGAGCGTCCCCTTGATGCTGATCGTTTCCGATAGTGGCTAGAATAATATTGTCAGAAATTAAATTTAGTAAATACAGCTTGTATTACTTATCCTCTCCCCACCCAAAAAAAAAAAATCTTGCAGAAGAATTAAATACAGAAAGAACTTTTCACAGGCTTTTTTTAAAAATTAGGAGAAAAAAATGTATTATAGCACATATAGAGGGGGAAGAATTGTCTTGAAAGAAAAGTAAGGACTGGGCCGGGGATTTAGCTCAGTGGCACCGTGCATGCCTCACAATCGAAAGGTCCTGAGTTCAATCCCCGATACCAAAAAAAAAGTCTTTAAAAGAAAAGGATAGTGAACAATAAGACCAAACACCTGTCTTCCAGTCTCAGCCCACTTACATTCTTGTGAAGGAAGAGATAATAGACAAGCAAAGAAAGAAACAGACAATATGTCAAGTAGTGCTATAAGCCGATCAGAAAAGGAAAAAGGAGAGTAAGAGATTTCCCTCTTGTATATTAAGTGATACAGAAGGCCTCACTAACAAAGTGACGTTTGTTACAGAGGCTTGAAAAAAATAAAGGCAAGAAGCACTGAAATATATGGAAGGAAAAAGGCACAAGTGCAATAACTGGTACATTCAAGGAAGAGCAATGAAACCAGTTGAAGCCAGGGTTGAATCAGCTACAGTGCCTAGAGATAAGGTCAGCGAAACAAAGCAGCTAAACATGGAAAGGCTTCTAGGCCACTATAAGGTCTCTGTCTTTCATTCTGAGTAAGATGTACTAGGCTGGCCGGAGTGGTGATACACACCTGTAGTCCCAGCTTCTCAGGAGGCTGAGACAGGAGGATTATTATAGCCCAAGAGTTTGAGACCAGCCTGGGCAACGTAGCAAAACATCTATAAGGAAAAGGAATGCGGACGTTACCAAAATCCCGTGTAGTGAGTCCTGGTCTCCTATGAGCTATAAAACACAGTGCTAATAAGAGTAAAAAAAGAAACGAGACTTAGAAAGCTGGGTCTTGGGGCTGATCTATGCTGCTCTGGGCAACAAAGACAAGGGCGCCCAAGGACATCCAGTATTTATTGATTACAAGCATGGGAAGAGGGCCAGGGATTTAGCTCAGTGGTTCCAGCACCTGCCTTGGAAGCACAAGGTCCCCAGTACCAAAAAAACCACAAAAAACAAACAAAGAAAGCATGGAGGGCCGGGGATTTAGCTCAGTGGTTCCAGGGCGCCTGCCTCGCAAGCACAAGGTCCGGAGTTCAATCCCTGGTACCAAAAAAAAAAAAAGTGATTAAAAAAAGCATGGGAAGAAAGTGAGCAGGGCATGCTTTGAAGACATCTAGTGATATAGGGCCCAACCATCAGGAATGACAGCACAAAGCAGGGCTTTAAGGAGACACTGCTTATCTTGCCTGGAGAGAACAAAGGGTACTAGGACCAGGTGCAATTAACCAGCAACCCATCAGGTCAGTGAGATCCCATAATTCAGGGGAAGGGTTTTGGTTGGAGCCATGTTGACCCTGGATGGAAGTGAATTCAGCTGAGCCCTGTTGCTTCACAGACTAGGACTTAAGTCTTGGTAGCAGCTATTAGCAAAGGAGGAATACTAGCCCAATTCTGCTATCTGACATGCCCATTTGAGGCATGTAAAGCTTCGGTCAGAGTCCTAAGATAGACAATATATGTAAATTACAGAAAAGCAAAAAGTATGTGCCACTTATATATAGCCTACTAGTACTGGGCAGGGATGTCTACTACAAACATCATCTCAAAAAGAAAGAAATACAGAAAGAGAGAAAGAGACAGAGGAAGAGAGAAAGGGAGGAAAAGAGAAAGCAAGAAATAAAGGAAAGCAAGTAGGCAGGGAGAGAAGATAAAGATTTTAAGCAGAGGAAAGACAACCTCATCAATGTTTTAAAAATATTATTCTGGATGCTAAACAAAGAAATCAGCCAAAGAAAGAGGGGCAAGAGGAGAAAGGGAGGAAAAAGAATAATATAGCAATCATCTAGGTAACAGTGGTGGCTTAGCACTGTTACTTAGCAGGTACAGAGATGCTGAAAAGTATCAAAATCATGGGAGGAGTAAGGGCTGAGGTGGAGAGAGCTACCTAGCACAGATTAGATTCACCAATGAATTAAAATGTCAAGTATGAGGGAAGTCTTGGGTGTCTCCAAGATATTTGACCAGAGCAAGAAGAAAAATGAAGTTGTGTCGTGCACGATCACATGCCTATAATCCCAGCACTTGGAAGGCAGAGGCAGGAGGATCACCTCAAGTTCTAGGCAAGCCTGGGCTACACAGTGAGTTCAAAGCCAGTCTGAACTACATAGCAAGACCCAGTCTCAAAAATAAAAAACAAAATCAAGTTGTGCTGGGAGTATACTTCAGTGGTAGAAGGTGTGCTTAGAACATGTGAGGCCCTGGGTGCCAATCCCTAGCACAAAAGACAAAAAACAAAACAACAACAACGACAATAACAAAAAAATGAAGAAGGCCAGGGAAGGAGTAGATTTTGGGGGGAAGGTGGAAAGTCAGAATATTAAGTATCCAAATGAAGGTGTGCAGTTGGTAGGTGAAATATAATCTTGGAGTTCAAGGAAGAAGTTTGGTCTGGCAGTATATGCCAGGAAGCCATCAGTGTACAAAGCTACTTAAAGTGATAAACCTGGATAAGACCACCAAAGAATGAGCACACCTGATAATCCTTCAAATTTCTCAAGTTAAATGTGCAGGAACCCAAACTTGTTACCTTTCTCTCCCCAAACCATTTATCATCCCAACTTCCAGTCATTAGGCTCAAAACATCAGTTGTCTCCCATATTTTCTCTTTTTATCATTCTACACAACCAGTAAAACCTCAAGCATCATCACTTTCACGTCTGTAATTTCTTTCACATTATATCACCTCAGAATTCCTACTGTCACTATTCTATATCAGATCTATCTACTTAGGATATTTTTTAAGATTCCTGGTCTTTCTGTTTCTATTACCATTTCTCTTAAATTTGCATTACTGCTGCTAGGGTCATTTTTCTTTTTGGGGGGGTACTCAGAACCTTGTGCTTGCAAGGCCGGTACAGCACCACTGAGCTAAATCCCCGGCCCTAGGGTCATTTTTCTAAAAGTGGAATTCTGATCCTATCACACACTTCTTATAATCTTTAAAGGCTTACAAATAAATTCTTATCTTCAAATCAAATTGACAATCCATTCACTTTCTGGGCTATTACAAGACCTACCTCCTACTCCTCTTCTATACTTTTTGAAAACTATACACGCAGGCAAACTGGGCTCTCTAGTTATTTCCCTTCACACCCTGCTCTTTCCACCTCAAAGCCTTTCATTATTCTCTGAAAAAACCTAAAGCATAGGCCAAACATGGCATGAAGGTATGGCAGTAAGCTACTTTAAGAGTCCGAATCAAATAAATATCACTTCCAGATTTTTGGTCTGTAAATATGCCTTCAAGGAGAGTTGAAAATTTTTCACAAATTTCTATAGTTAAAGTAATTCTTTATCCAGATAATAGTTACACAATTTATATGTCTGCTAATTTTCATCAAACTCTATGTCTACACTTTGTCTATTTCCCCAAACATTGGTTATACCTCAATAAAGTAGTTAGCATTAAAAACCCTCACTGTAACTAGACAGAAAGCATTTTTCAGTCACTGCTAAATACATACCAGTCATGTTTAAGGTAAAAAAATCTCAAAATCTTAAACCATTTAACAGCAATTTTAAAGTTCTGGGGCCGGGGATTTAGCCTGCCTCGCAAGCGAAAGGTCCCGAGCTTGATCCCTGGTACCAAAATAAATAAATAAATAAATAAATAAATAATATAAAAAAAGTTCTGAAGAGATCTCATGGTTCTAACAAGGTCTCCCAGTGCAATCTCATAAAGACAGAAAGCAGGTAAAAAGCATTAAATCTATTTGCGAAGTAAACGTCCATGCGACAAATATTGCATAGCCCAGTAAAAGCCGGTCGTGTACAGTGCTGTAGGAGCGGTAAAAATGTCTGCCCACAGGCTTCTTTCAACTGACTGAGAAAAGACCACACAAAGAATTAAAATACGGAGGGATAGGCGCTGAGAACACAAACGCGAAGTAAGAGAGAAACTCAGCTGAAGTCATCACTTTCTGAGGTGGCCAGGGCCTAGGCTCCGTGGAAGTCGCGGGATGTGGTGCCCAACCAACACCCGACGTCCTAGAGAGCTGCTACCGCTCCAGGGGCTCGAACCCGGCTGACGGTGATTCAGAAAAGAAGTATCTGGTCGCCGGCCCGTGAAGTCATTGCCTCAGCCAAGGTCCCAAGCCCCTCCAGCGGATGCTAAAGTACAGGGGGCCACACGTGGGGCAGCCCCAAGCCGGGCCCCGCCGCCACCTCAACTCCCGCCACTTCTCCCGACCTTCAGAAACCGCTCACCCGCTCGGCGCACTGACTCACCGCGACTCCCGGCCCATGCTGCGGGCTGCACGAAAGCTTCACCCGGGCAAACAGGACAAAGGAAGAAGCCGCACTACACTAGAGCTCCGGGCGAGGACCAGCACTAAGAAGCTATAGTAGCAGTAGCCGCCATCCCTAGCACAGCCAACGAAAACAGGACGTGCTAGCAACGGCGGCAGAAGGAAGGAAACAGCCCGCCGGAAGCTCCTGTCTCCCCACAGCGCCTCCTCTTGGCAGGAGGGTGCGCAGCGCCGGCCGCGCCCCAAGGAGAAGCCCTCGCGGTTTTTCCAGCCCTGGAAGGGTTTTTGCTGCAGGGACGACCCAAACATCTTGGGCAGCTTGCTGATGTGCCAGAGCACGCACTCATGCCCATCTCAATCTGCGCTTTTAATGCTACAATCTTCTCCATACACGCTCTTGATTCATTAAAACATTCACTTATAGGCTGGGGATTTAGCTCAGTTGGTTTTGCCGCCTGCTGCACAAGCTCAAGGACCCGAGTTCGATCCCCGGTACCAAAAAAAAAAAAAAAAAAGTCACTTATATGTGTTGTCATATGCCGGGAATGTGCTAGATTTCCTGAGAGGCTTACAGTTGTATGAGTTAAATAAACATGACTGAAAACAAAAGTGCGTGCAATAAAGTAAGGAGACTACATTGTCGAGGGAAGAGCTTTCTGAGGGTTAAGTGGGTTTTAGGCTTGCAAGCAAGATTTGAAGTCTGAGGAGTTAACCCAGTAAAGAAAAAGAAGAATTAAAAATACATCAGTAAAAAAGTATAATAGTTCTCAACATTGCCTGCACTAGGAAGCTTTGCGGGGAATGAAGTATCTGGCTTCCACCGATGGTCTACAGAGCTTCTCAACACATTTGAGAATTTTTAACCCCACTAGGTGATCCTGAGGTCAAGATTAAGAAGGAATCGTCTTGTGGAATACCCACCAAAATGTTCTTGCAGAAAAGTTGTGATGAAGTCAGGGAGAGGCTCTCATTTTCATAATACATGCTTCTGTACTATTTTACTTTTTTTAACACCTGAAGATGATAGAAAAGTTCTCTATCTTGATTGTGGCAGTTAATGCATGGATATATACATTTGTTAAAGTCATTTAACTATATATGTTAAATTGGTGCATTTTATTGTGTATAAAGTTTTATCCAAATAAAGTTGACCTTGGGCCAGGCATGGTGGTGCACACTTGTAATACCAGCGCTAGGGAGGCTGAGGCAGGAGAACTGCTGTGAGTTTGAGGCCAGCCTGGAGGACATTGTGAGTTCAAGGCCAGCCTGAACTACCAAGCAAGACCCTGTCTCAAAACAAATGAACAAATAAACAAAATAAAGTTGATCTTTTAAAAAGACTCCATCTCAGAAAGAGGGGAGAGAGGCCACTAATAGAGACAGGAAAAAGTGGTCAGATTCTGAATGTATTCTGGAGGCAGCTCTCAAAACATGAATTGATGAACTGGATGTGAGCTGTGAGGCAGCAGGAGGAAGACAACGCCCAGGTTTTGAACAGAGCTATTGCAGGCTATGGTGAATGTGTGAAGAAATACATGGGAAGCAGATTTGGGTTCAAGGAAGAAATAGTGGGAGAGAAATGGCTTACTAGAATTTAGTAGAATGCATAATATACCTGGTATTCACAGACATGGAACTGGATGAAGCCATGCAAAATGAATGAATTAACTAACTTTTGAATTAGCAATTTGAATATTGCTTGTCACAGAATTAATGTTACAGCTGGAACAGATTTTTGAATCACATATGCATCTTGATTTTAAGTAAAAAAGCTGAGGCTCAGGAAATACATTTAGTCCTAGACCACTAATCTTGTTGGAATTTAGGCTGGAAAAAGAGAATCAGTATCTGACACCTAGCCCAGAGCTCATTTTATATTTTTCCACTCTCCTTTAAGAGAACCCAATAACAAGGCAATTCCAACTGGCACAAATATCTCATGTTCACAACATACATATGGTGATTTCACAGCTCTTCAGTGTCCTGGAAGCTGCTTTTATCTGTTAGTACAGGTCCAAGAAGGGATTACAGTCTACACTGTCTAATACGTTACTATCAGCAAACTGCCCAAGCTTCCAAAGCAGCAGATTTTGATTCTCAGTTCTGAGTATTTTATAACCCTCTTGCTGTTTTCATGCTTTTTGAACCAGGAATTGAACCCAGGACCTTGTGCTTCCCAGGCAGGTGCAGCACCACTGAGCTACATCTCTGGCACCCTCTTGCTGTTTTTAATAGCAATGGTGATGCACACATGTCCATTTATACAACTAACTGACTGAAAAACTACTGGGGGATATGGTTGAAGATGTCACTTGTAATCAATCATCTTTATCAGTCTACTTTTTTTTTTGGTACCAGGGATTGTACTCGTGTCCTTGCGCTTGCACAGCAGGCAGCAAAACCACTGAGCTAAATCCCGGCCCTATCAGTCTACTTTTAACTCATATACATTTCAAAACCCTGACATTTCTAAATAATATTTTAAACATTATTTTGAACACTTAAAAACTTCCATTTTCATATTATTTAACACATCCAAGGAAATTATTGGATGCCAATAAATTGAAGAGAAAAAAATGGCATAAGTAGACACAGATACCTTACAGGTCTACTTTTTTTTTGGTATTGGGAATCAAACTCGGGACCTTGCGCTTGTGAGGCAGGCAGCAGAACCAGTGAGCTAAATCCCCGGCCCTCTTCTAACATATAAATTTGGTAATGATCTGCAATTATTAAAGCTGCAGGTGTCAACTGGTTAAACAGGGATTTTTTTTTTTTAAGGAACAAAAGTAGTAAAAATGTGAAATTTAACTTCACTAGTGTCTTCCCAGGGATAGAGGGTGCGACAACTCTAAAGGATCTTAATAGATTTTCTGTTTTGGAAACAGGTCTCTCTAAATAGTTCAGGCTGGCCTTGAACTCACTGTGTAGCCCAGGCTGAGTTCTAACATGCAGTAATCCTCCTGCTTTAGCCTTCCAAGTGCTAGGATTATAGGCATGCACCACCATTCCTGGCCATTACTTTTCTTTAGATAGTAGATTCATTATGAAATCAGAAAATGTACATATATGTAATCTTAATCTCAAAATCAAAGGAATAGACTTAAATATATTCTCCACTATTCTATTTCAACAGAAAAATAACAAAAATCAAGACTTAGTCATAATAAAAAAAGTACAGAAGTCCCTGACTTATAAACATTCGAGTTGCAAACTTTCAGATATGAACAGACCTTGCATGACATTTTGTAGACACAAATCACAGAAGTAGCTCATGTGTCTCCCAGACATTGTCACAGTCGCACTGTTCTGTGCTTATTATACAGTGCAATAGTGTACAGTAGTACAACGCTCGGAGTCCAGGATGTCCAGAAGCAAGAGGAAAAGCAATGGTGACGTAGAAAGGACTGCTAGGAAGTGCAAAGCGATATATACTGTATATTTGTGTCAAAGGTGCATAAGACATTGTTGGACTTACAAAGGAATCTGATTTACGAATGTTCTCTTGGAACAGAATTCATTTACAAGTCAGGGACTTACTGTATTTTCAACATCACACAAATTAACCAAATAGACCATACAAAAATCTGTAAGGAAATATAAGGCTAGCTGATATACCTCAAGTTTCATACGCTTTTAATTAGCAATAATCGCGCCTCGGATAAACCTCATTGGCTACAATACTGCCACTGCGCAAAGCTCACGCTTTTAAGAAAACAAAACTTTCAAATGTGAAATTGTTACTAAATTAGGTAAAAAAGGATATTTATGGTGTTGGGTTGTATGTCTTAATTATTCAGATCCCGTTTTTAACCATTCTCCTCTAGTTTACTCTAACAACATACTTCTAGGCCCGGAGGTATAGGTCAGTGGTAGAATCACTAGAATACATGAAGCCCTGGGTTTGATTCCCCAGCACTGCAAACAAGCAAACAAACAACATACTTCTGAACCTCTGAAAACTGAAAATTCAACAGAGAAAATTTCCGATCCTGATCACAGTGTGGTATATAGCAAATAGGTTTTAAATAGCTTCTAATTTCAAATGCACTTCAGAGACAGGGACTGAACCTACCACCTTGCACTTGCTAAGCTACACCCCTGGCCCACATGTATGTTTCTTCATCATTTCTCCCATTTAAATATTGTGTTGAGGGCCAGGGATTTAGCTCAGTGGTTCAGGAGCCTGCCTCACAAGCGCAAGGTCCCGGGTTAAATCCCCATACCAAAAATAAATAAATAAAGAAATAAATATTGTGTTGACATAAAAATTAAGACACTAACTCAAAGGAAAAAGAGATTGTTTAAAATGTGCAGACAACATCAGACAATTCAGTTACTTTCATTTTATTTTTAAGATGGTTTTATTTCTCAGAACAGAATGACACAAATACAGGAAGCCATCCATAGGGATAGTTGAGATCATATTTATCTGCTCTTCTAAAATCACTAGCTCAGCCCCCAATAGAGGAATTACAAATCTGAGAAGTTAGAGGAAAGATATAAAGAAAAGATTAGGGAGTCTAATTAAACAAGAAAAATCATTAATGACATTGGTACTCTGTTCTTCAGAGCAGTACTAATACAAACTCCGCCCTTTCAAATCGGGGAACCTGTCATTCCATTCCTAGAAAAGTGGTCTTACAACTTCTATAAAGTAAAAGAAATACATAAAGATGTAAACCAATTGGCCTCCTTTAGAGACAATGCAATACAGAAGTTGGCTTTTTTAAGCTTCCCCTTCTGAGTCTGCATGCTTCATGGAACTTCAGAGCCCCAATAATCAAGCAGTTCATGACAAAAGATAAAAGTGAAAAAGTAGACACAGAGATCTGTGAAGACTTCTCCCATTTTGCTGTAAGTATCCATTGATCGATTGATCACTTCAGCAGGAATTCCAGACAGTAGAAGTGCAGCTGTTAGTACTGTTGTCTTTATCTTCTTTTCACCCTGTGTAGAAAGGGACTCAAATTAATGGTACAGCTTTTAGCAAACTACATAAGCTCTATAAAAACATGATCAATACTGTTGTTCTTGCCTAAATGATTTCAAAACTGTTAACCATAATATGTCAACATACATTGAACGCATAATAATAGGTAATTCAGTAAACTACTAGACAGTAACACACAACCTTCTTGCTACTAAGTTTTCAAAATGTGTCATCTTACAAACAAGACA